ATTAGATCTAAAAATAGACTTCGCCATAATCAGAAACCAAGATCGGAAAGAAAGAAATGTCCGCCCTAGCATATTCTTAGACATAACGGGAGGCATAATTATAAATTTTGTATATATACATAGAAACATAAAATTGTAATGAATCTGTATATATCAAAAAATTCACTATTATCTATGAAGCAGTTCAAATCTAGTTCTATGTTAAGCCCCTTAGGGCGGATAGAGTCCATCTGGAAGATCCACTTAGTTTCCATTTGTGACACTGCTCTTTTCTTATTAGTGCCCCTCCAGTGGGATTGAACTGCATCTATTCCCACAAACATCAAAGAGGATGGATCTCTACTGTGGTGTGTTCTATAGTGCATAGATAATGAGTGATCCTTGTAACCCTTTTTCACGTTATTAACATGTTCTCTGAGTCTATCTCTGAGTTTTCTAGTCGTACGTCCAATGTACTGTTTTTTGCAAGGACACTGCAAGAGATAAACAACGTGTCTACTGTTACAAGAGATAAAGTTCTTAATCCTAAAGGTTTTTCCTGTGATGGTGGAAGTAAAATCCTCAATTTTACACTTCCTTTTACCATTATAGGTGCATATAACGCACCGACTGCATGGAAAAAAACCTCTCATATCCCCAAATAAAGAAACCGATTGTGGGGGATTGAGATTGAACATTTGGGGCTATGAGATTTCTCAAAGTCTGTGCTCTTCTATAAATTATTTCCGGTTTTTCTGGCAGAATTTTTGTTAAAACCGGATCAGCTTTTAAAATTTTCCAATTCTGATTTATTATTTTGGATATTGTTTTATACTGTCTGGAAAACGTGGTTATAAAAGGGCAGACTTTTGGTGGCTTATGTGATATATTATTAGCCAATAGCACTTCTCTATTCATATGGGCCACATTTTGGATAATTTGAGTAAGATGCATTTCCTCATATCCTTTCTCCATAAATCCCAAGCCAATATTTTGAAAAGCAGATTTATGGAGAAAGGATATGAGGAAATGCAGGATTTGATTGATGACAGTAGGAGCCAATGGCAGCAGGAACCAATGGCTCCCACTGCTGTCTCTGAGCCTGTGAGTAGAGAGAGAGAGAGAGAGAGAGAGAGAGCAGCTCTGCTGAAGAGAGGCCCAATGCTGGATTGAGATAAGACTCGATATAGGTAAGAATAAAGGGTGGTGAGGGGGTGATACAACTAATGGGACACTTTTTTTTGCTTAATGGAGGGATTGCATTAAGATAAAAAATATCTAGCCCCGAAAACCATTTTAAGGCCCACATCACTTGGCAGAGCCAGCTGTATGACATCAATGATCTTTTTTAGCTGTCTGCAAGGTTGGCATTCAGACCACCACTGTAAAGGGGTCATTCTTCTCAATATCCGCCAACTTATTTTTTTAAACAGGGTTGCCCAGGACCTGAAAAATATGGGCTATTCTGGGGTAATGAAAAATGTTAAATATTACAATTGCAATATTTTTTAACCATTATGCAGATATTGAAAGAAACCATTGTAAAGCAAAGAACCCCTTTCGGAAGTCTAATCCCCATCCTGCTGGATAAAATTCAGGCTAAAGGTGAATATTTAAACTGTATGGTTGGCCAATAGTAAAACCAGGATTCCTTGGACCCTTAGGGTTCCCCAGAAGTTGTTGGGGATACCTTGAACTTCCGACTGATTGATTCAACATTTGATGGTGTCTACATAGTTAAGGCTACACCACTTCGCACAGCCAGCTACGTTATTCCCACTGGCCACCAGCATATCGGTTTTAGCAGGCGTTCCCCAAAACCTGAACGATATTTCAAGGGTTCTTTGTTGGGTAATGAAAATTAAAAATAGTAATTATTAAGATTATATGTTTTATCTATTGTGTAGACATTGAAGGAGACCATATGAAGCAAAGAACCCCCTTCAGAAGTCTAATTCCCATTTGGTTGGATGAGCTCCAAGCTGAAGGTGAATATTTTAATCACATGGTTGGCAAGCAGTAAAAGCAGCCATTCTCAAACAGGATTCCTTGGAACCTTAGAGGTCACTGGTGTACCAGTGGTGTATTTAGGTTTTGTGCTGCCCTAAGCAACGCAAAAATTGGTGCTCCCCCCTGCAGAAAGAGCTTGACATTGACCAAGAACACCCCTGCCCTCCACCCAAGCCTTCCAATACCACTGCCCCCCATACACCAGCCACCATCTGCCATGGCGAGAGAGAGAAAAAACACTCACCTTCACAGCTCTGGACATGTCCAGGAACGATAGTCGGGCTGTGCATACACCGTCATGAAACCCACAGTATCTGTCAGAACCCACCAGGTCCCCATGCCGCGTGTGCTCCTTCTTCCATCCCTTCTTCCAAGGGGCAGTGCTGCCCACCCTGAAAAATATCACCCTAGGCAAATGCCTTGTTTGCCTTGTGGTAAATAAACCCCTGGGTATACCTTGAGCTACAGTTAATTGACTTCACATTTGATGGTGTCTACAAAGTTGAGACCTGCACCACTTGGCAGAGCCAGCTGCATGACATCAAATGATCTTTTTTTTTTAGCTGTTTGCAAGGTTGGCATTCAGACCACCACTGTAAATGGTTCTTCCCACCAACCACCAACGTATTGAGTTTAGTAGGGTTTTCTCAAGACCTAAACATTATTTCAAGGGTTCCCTTGGTTGATAAAGATAGTTTAAGTTAAACTAGCATTAAATGTGATGTGCAGGTAATATTTCAATCCCTGCAACAGCAGTTCACTTTGTGAAGATGATGACATCATCTCAGCCTAGGCAAAGGCATTAGCCTGGAGCTCAAGGGTGGCTTTTTAATGACACAGGTTGGAGAAAAGCAGAGAGATACTGTCAGGGCTCCCGGTAAGACCAGAGGTGTGTGGACTGACACAGGGAAACGCAGGCTAAAGTATGGTGTAACAATATCATTTATTAAAGGTTAAACACAAATATAAAATGCACAAGATAACAAAACCAAACCTCCAACTGATAACGGAATGAACACAGATAAGAGCAGTCAGGGCTGGTGAGGTGGAGTGGTCAGGCAGGCCGGGTCAGGAACCATCGGGAAGACAAGACACAAAGGAGCAGGCAGAGCGTAGTCAGATGGGCCGGGTCAGGAACAATCAGGCAGACAAGGTACCAAAGGAGCAGGCTGGAGAGTGGTCAGGAATAGCCGAGGTCAGGACAGGCGGAGTTCGTTCAGAGTCAGGATCAAAGCAGAATCAGGATCAGGCAGGAAGCAGACAGGATGCAGGTACAGGGGCTCATGGGAAACATACACCAAGGCACTGACTGCAGGTCTGGCCATTCCTTAAATACACCTCCTGCAATCAGCCTCAGGTGATGGCTGACTGCAGGAGTGAGATTCTGGTTGCTGAGAGCACCTGCTGGCCAGCCCTGGTACTGCAGCCCACACGGCAGATGAGTCCCACCACTAATGGTGAGTCCATTCCTGACAGATACATTTTGAAGTGGAACCAAACCCTACTATCCTTCACAGCCAAGGAAGCTGCCATCTTAGTTTATGTTTGATCTGCAGTTGCCGTGGTGCTGCTCGTGTGATCAGTTATGACCTCAGCCATTTGATGGCTTGACAGTTCAGTTGAGAGCTCAAGCAAATGCGACAATCATCATCCACAGCATGCTTCTAATGCAACTGTTTTTGGAAACTGTTAAAGGAAAAGTACAGCCAAAGCTTTTTTGGCTGTTCTTCTCCTGTGAACCACAACAGTGGAGTTCGTTCTGCACTTCTGTGACCCATTTTCAGCTGAAGCCCACTGTCGGCTGACATCACTCAGCCGGTCCAAGCTGGGGAAAGATCCTGACTTCAGAGTCGAGCCACTGAGAGCCTGAGCCAGCCGATTCCTCCCCCTCCACAACCCAGCACTCCAGTGAGCACTCCAGTCACCTCTGTCTGCTCAGAGCAGCTGAGAGAACTGAGCGATCAGCGGTCATGTGATCATTGAGTTCTCGCCCTTAGAGCCAGTGGAGGACAGATGCTGCATCCACCTAGGTAAGTATAATTGAAAAAAATAAAAAAATTTAAATTGAGTTCCTCTTTACATGAATTAAAAAGGCTTCAAATTGGCAACTTGCTTTACTAATGAATGGATCTGCTCACCTGCAGGGGCATATTTACCACAAGGCAAACAAGGCATTTGTTTAGGGTGGCATTCTTTCGGGGGGCAGTGCTGCCCCCAAAAGAAGGACACACGCAACATGGGGACCAGGTGGGATCTGAGAGAAGCTGGGGGCTACTTGATGGTGTATGCAGAGCCTGACTCTTGTTCCCGGGATGTCCTGAGCTGTGAAGGTGAGTGTCTTCTCTCTCGCCGGGGTGGGGGGTTGCCAGTGTATGGGGGGTGGTGGTAGTGGAAGACTCTCTCTGGGGGGGATGAGGGGGTGTTGTTGGTCAATGTCAGGCTCTTATCATGGGGGAGGGGGGTGTTTGTCAGTGTCAGGGTCTCTCCAAGGAGGGGGGGGGGCAATTTTTGTGTTGCCTAGGGCAGTATGAAATCTAAATACACCACTGCTCACCTGTAATAGGCTTCTTACAGTGCACCCTGAAATCAACATCAGATTTCCTCCTTGATGAAATGAATATTTTTTTTTTCCTCAACAAACGTTTGGATTGTATCAGATGTAATGCGTATCGGCTTCATGTTTGTTGAGAGTCAATATTTAACCTGTTAGATTAATCCTCTAACAAAAGAACCTCTGATGTATGTCCAGCAATTAGCCTTTGTTATCATTGTGAAACAGTTTTTTAATACTCTGCTTTGTTTACTTCCTTTCTGTGGTGATATACCTTGCCATTTGTGCCATTCATTTTGGGCCACGTATATGGAGATAACCAGGCCATTTGTTCCAATCACCTACAGAAAAACAAGGTACACATATTGCCAAAAGTATTGGGCCCGCCCTCCCAATCATTGGGTTCACGTGCTTACAATCCCCTCCATGGCCACAGGTGTATACAATCAAGCCCCTAGGCATGCAGACTGCTTCTACAATCATAGGTGAAAGAATGGGTCGCTCTCAGGAGCTCAGTGACTCCAAGCGTGGTTCCGTGATAGGTGGTCACCTGTGCAATAAGACCATCTATCACGTACCTGGTGATGGAGGCCAACGGAGAGAGGGCTTCCCTTGCGGCTAAGTTCCAGACTCCCCCGAGAGTGGGACAGCGGGAGTCAGGCCCAAAGTTGCACAGGTCGCCTGTAGGAGTGCTGGTTGGTGGTCCACTCAGAAGCACAGCTCGTGCACGGAGATAGGTCTGCAGACAGGAGGCACTTGTGTTTGGTATGCAAGCCTTTCCGGGATTTAGATGTCTACTGGGTAGTCGGTTCAAGCCAAGGTCAGGTACCAGGTGGGAATCAGAGCGGACGAAGTCAGATGGGATAGTTGAGGTCATACACAGAGGAGAGAGAGACAGAGAGTATCTGTAAGCCGAGGTCAGATCAGGGGTAAGGCAGAGTAGACAGGTCCAGGAGCAAGCCGAGTCGGTAACAGGAAATCACGGGTCAAAGTCACAGGAAACAGGGCACAGGGAGCTAGAGAACATCCAGCAACTTGAGGAAGTTATAAGCCTCCTTATAAAGGCCGTCTGGCACCAGATTGAGGCTGATGTGTCCTTCTGCGGCCATGCACAGTACTGGCAGAAATGCCAGATCTTCCAAAACCTCTGCCATGGACAGGACCCTGACACCATCCGTGACATTTCCTGGCTACTAAATATTCCACGCTCAACTGTTAGTGGGATTATAACAAAGTGGAAGCAACTGGGAACAACAGCAACTCAGCCACCAAGTGGTAGGCCACGTCACATGACAGAGCCGGGTCAGTGCATGCTGAAGCGCACAGTGCACAGAAGTCGCCAACTGTCTGCAGAGTCAATAGCTAAAGACCTCCAAACTTGGTGTGGCCTTCAGATGAGCCCAACAACAGTGCGTAGAGAGCTTCATGGAATGGGATTTCCCTGGCCGAGCAGCTGCATCCAAGCCTTCCATCACCAAGTGCAATGCAAAGTGTCGGATGTCATGGTGTAAAGCACGCCACCACTGGACTCTAGAGCAGAGGAGACATGTTCTCTGGAGTGACCAATCACGCATCTCTGTCTAAAAAGCAGAGTTTAGTGAGCGCTTGAACAAATACACAGCAGCTGTACAGTAGGTTGGACGCCATGCCGCCGGCGCCACGAGGGGCCCCGGCAGCCATCTTTGTTTACATCTGGGTCAGTAATTTTTATGATTGAGTTGTTTCTGCTATCCTGTGCCTGTATACTAAATAAAATACCTCAAGGATATTACACTATGTGGCCTTCTCTGTTTATTTGAGCTCTGGTGAAAACCAGCCAGATCTACAGAGCAGCCGCATCTATCCGAGTGCCAGGCAGCAAGAGCCATATGACCAGATCTGACCAGACCAATTGGATGACACCAGAGGTCCAGTGATTTGATATACAAATGCGCATAAAGATTGCGTATCTGGTGAGTGCGCAATCTTTATATTATTTATCACCTGGCTGTTCCAATCATTGGACGTCTGAGGATCATCCTGGATCTTAAGAGCACCCCTTCATTGGACTCTTTTATTTATTCATTTTGCACCTCTTTCACTTTATAGCCACCATTTAGTGGCTTTATTTTACTTGCACACAGTCACTATTTATTTTATGTTTGACTTTTAATTTTATTAGTGTCTGTTGTTTTGTAAAGCGCTGCACTCCCCCCTTTTTTTGAATATTTACGCATCTCTGTCTGGCAATCCATGTTATAGGCTGATGCTGAAAGATCTACCCCCTGCTACACTAGCCTAGCCGGGTGTCACTCTCTCCCAAACATGGGGTACTCATCAATGCCCGTGACCAGTCGAAGCCCACTTTCAGGGATAGCTCAACCTTTAGGTGGACCACCAACCTAGAGATGGCTGTACACCGAGTACACTTGAGCAATAAACTGGACTCCAGTTAACTGTCTCTGCCCCCATGTTGAAGTACACCTTCGCAGTCACTGTTTGCATTTAGGAGGGACACGCTGGTCCAATGCCCACTCCTCCTGTCCAGCAGATCTCTGCTACCTCGCTCCCAGCAACGGAACACAGTCCCACCAAGCACCTAGCGCAAACTCTATGAGTGCTCTTCATTAACCCTTCTTCTTCTATACCTAGTGCACAGGCCTGGTGACATCTGTGGTACTGATCTGCTCCGATTACTATAGGAGACAGACCGCCAGGGGAGACATCAACTCCTTTGCTACAAGAGGACGTCCCACCGGTCACAGGTACACACTTCCTGACAGGCTCCTTGCTAGACCTCTGTTATCCATGATAACCACTTGCTGTTCTCTGCATGACTGATGGATATGCAGAATATCAAGGCTAATACTTACCGCCTAATCCATAAAAACCACCACCACCCTTCAACCTTCCCCACCTAAATAACCACGCGACTCTCTTTTTGGTGTAAAACCGGCCATAGCAGCCATTTATTTAACATAACTCTTACATAACACTTCTTACAGTACACTCAAATAATAACTGACAGTAATGATCCCAAACGGGTCCAAGGTCTTCAAAGGCACCGTTACTCACATCAAAACTCGGCTGTATCTGACACCCAATGGAAAGGCCCCCAGCTGCTACTACACCGCCTCTTGGACAATACTAGTTACGTAGTCCCAGATACAGCCAATGAACTCCCACATTACCAATGTGACCTTATAATTGGGAAGGAACACCCATACCTACGATGGGCCCAACCCATAACCCACCAAATCATCACTCCAGCACCGCCTTCAAAGACCTATGGACCCCTGCCTGCTGCCATGACAAAACAAACAGACAAACACCTCGGGACACAAAATGCCCTTCAGGACAAGAGACAAAATCAAGGAACCCACACAAAACAAACAACAAAACAAACACAAAGAACAAACAATAACCAAAACATCAAAACAAAAACACGAAACAGCTCCAGAGAGGGAGGGCGGGAGAAACCAACCCCGTGCTGGCACAAGCTCCAACTGACCTCCGACAAGACCCATCCCAACTCCTAATCCTGGCAAGACCACCCCTCGAGCTTGCGTAATCCAATCAGGTGAGTAACCCCCCCTTACCTCCTGCATATACTCCCACCCGAATACACGCTCCGCCTCGTCTGCACGCCCCGGTCATGCTGGCCCTCCCTTTTAGCTTTGCTCAGTCCAGGCCCTGACTTGACGTTGACTCTTGAAGTCCTGTCTTCATACCCCAATGTGCCTCACTGACCCCAACTGCAGACTACGGGGTGATTTACTAAAGTCAAAGAGACTGTGCACTTTGTAAAGAGCAGTTGCATTCTGCAAGAGAAGTTGCTCCAGAGCAGGGGCAGACTGACCATTTGGAAACTCGAGCACTGCTCGAGGGCCCGGGGTCAGTAGGGGGCCCCATGAGATGCCCCTGGTACCTTTTTCATAGGCTTTTTTGAGTTTGGGCAAGGACACAGGGGCCCCATGATCTCCTATTGCCCGGGGGCCCCAAGAGTTGTCAGTCTGCCCCTGCTCCAGAGATTAGTAAATGAGCAGAGCAGAAGCTCAGCTGACTTCCATCGTTCAATCACGTGCGAGAAAAAATGCTGTTTTTTTTTTTAATTTTCCTTGCATGTCATTGGATATTCTTTGCAGAGTGTAGCTTTACCTCATTTACTAAGCTCTGGTGCCGAGTGCAACTGCATTTTGCAAAGTGCTCAGTCTAGTTTCCTTTAACCACTTCCTGTCCGGCCGCATTTGCAGCCTGTGCGCGCTCCCTGGGATCGCTCCCTGCGATCGCTATACGGGACCTCTGTCTGAGGTCCTGATCATGTGATCACTGGTTGGCCAATCAGTGATCACATGAATAGTAGTAAGCAAGCTGTCACTTCTGACATCATTGCTTACTACTAGTGTAATGTGTGAATGATCACAGAGATCACATGGTATAGGTCCATTCACAACAACCTTGTAGCATGTGACAAGCTGTGACCAATCACAGCTCTCACAGTATTTCTCAATAATGCAGGAATGCAGCCAGAGAGAAGGAGAAATCATTGCTTTTACAGCCTTTATGGGTGTAAAAGAAATCAGAGTAAAAAAAAAAATCTTCATCACCCCCCTCAAGTAGTACAGTGTCACTATGGTGATACCATAATTTTTATTGCCGGCAATTGTTTTTGTTTACATTCAGGGAATCCCTCTGACAGCTGAATATAAATAAAACAATTGCCAGCAATTAAATATTATGGAAACATTTACGGATAATTTTGTAAAAAAAAAAATGTATGACTCTTGAGTAAAAGCGATGTGGATTTTTGGGTTCAATACCGCTTTAATTTCCGTAATTTTTAATTGCCAGCAATTGTTTTTGTTTACATTCAGGGACTTCGATGACAGCTAATTGTAAAGAAAACAATTGCCGGCAATTAGAAATTATGGAAAAATTTACGGATAATGTTGTAAAAAAATGTATGAATCTTGAGTAGAAGTGGTGTGTTTTTTTTTGGGTTCAATACCGCTTTAATTTCCATAATTTTTAACTGCCAGCAATTGTTTTTGTTTACATTCAGGGACCTCCATGACAGCTAATTGTAAACAAAACAATTGCCGACAATTAAAAATTATGGAACGATTTACGGATAATGTTGTAAAAAAATGTATGAATCTTGAGTAGAAGTGGTGTGGATTTTTGGGTTTATTACCACTTTAATTTATCACATATATATACGTGATTTTGAGCAGCCGTGCCGCCCTGTAGCAGTACATCTGCCATAGGGCGGAGGGCAAGTGGTTAAAAGTTGAGTAGGCTATAAATATAGGATGTTTTGATAACACATTAAATTATAGTCTAACATGATTGTACGAGGATTTTACAAAACACATCCAGAGAGGAGAAATGATTGTTTTTACAGCCTTTATGGGTGTAAAAGCAATCAGTGTAAAAAAAAAAAATCTTCATCACCCCCCACAAGTAGTACAGTGTCACTATGGTGACACCATAATTTTTATTGCCGGCAATTGTTTTTGTTTACATTCAGGGAATCCCTCTGACAGCTGAATATAAATAAAACAATTGCCAGCAATTAAATACTATGGAAACATTTACGGATAATTTTGTAAAAAAAAAATGTATGACTCTTGAGTAAAAGCGGTGTGGATTTTTGGGTTCAATACTGCTTTAATTTCCGTAATTTTTAATTGCCAGCAATTGTTTTTGTTTACATTCAGGGACCTCGATGACAGCTAATTGTAAACAAAACAATTGCCTGGCAATTGAAAATTATGGAAACATTTACGGATAATGTTGTAAAAAAAATGTATGAATCTTGAGTAGAAGTGGTGTGGATTTTTGGGTTTAATACCACTTTAATATATCACATATATATACGTGATTTTAAGCAGCCGTGCCGCCCTGTAGCAATACATCTGCCATAGGGCAGAGGGCAAGCGGTTAACAGTTGAGTAGGCTATAAATATAGGATGTTTTGATAACACATTAAATTACCGTCTAACATGATTGTACGAGGATTGTACAAAACACAGCAGACTCGTCTACTTTATTTCCCCTGTTTGCTTGGCAGGTTGGATCATGCCGTACAATAATGTATATAAACAGGTTCTACTACAGGATTTGTTACATAAGAGCTAATAGCGAGTGTTATTCACGGGAATTACACAACTTTCACCCAGGAGTTACACATTTTTCCAGTGAAATCCAATTATGAAGCTTCAGTAAAAGTAGCGTAACTCTTGTGTGTATTTTAAAAATATATATATGAAAAATTGGCCAATTTTGTAAATAAAAAAAAAAGGATCCTTCTTGAGTAAAAGTGATGTGAATTTTATGTCAATCTTGTGTGAAAACATTAATAGACTCCAATTTTGTAAAAAAAAAAAAAAAAGTATAAATCTTGAGTAAAAGTGGGATTTTGCATGAAAACATTTATAAATAGACTCTTTGGAGTCTAATTTAAAAAAAAAATTAATACAAATTGGCCAGTTCTGTAAAAAAAAAAATAAATAATGTATGAATCTTGAGTAAAAGCGGTGTGGTTTTTTGGGT